AAAGTATAAGTAATTATACACGTCCGGAAAACCTGATGATCCACTTAAGTGAAACTTTGGTAGGTTTGACTGGCTCTTTAGGTTTAACTATATATATATATATATATATATATATATATAAGATTAATGTTAGTAAAATTTATCACTTAGCTGATTAATGTTACCTTCAGCATTCCGACTCCAGAGTTTCGTAGATGGATTTGTCCGTCCACTCTTCAGGGGGATACATTCAGTGTGATGAGCTTGCTTTAATATGTGTAAATATGCATTTGACCTTCCTCAAGGCCAGTTTTCAGGCAAACGATTGAAGCAACTCCTAAAGATACACTTTTAAATAATCAGTATTCATTTCCTTAAAATTAAAACTTGTAAATCAATTGATGCTGATCATGAAAACCATTTTTAAAAGAAATAAAAGTAAAGCAATGTAGAATGCAACAAAAACCTAAAGGTTTATCATTTTAGCAGGAAAGAAAGTGAGACTTGGCGGAAAGAATCATTGATTTTGACTAGTCATTCATTTATCTTATTTCGATTGAAGTTTATTGCGGCTACAAGATCGTTATTCTACGACCATTGAATAAAAATGATGAATAAACCCTGATGAAGTCTGAAATGATAATTGTGATAAAAAGAACATCTATTCTCACATCTTAATTTCAGTGTTTTTTTTTTTTTTCATCTCAGATTTCAAACAATTACTCTATAGTTTGTAAGCAACACAAATTGAAAATAAAGAATAATGCATCAGTAGCCTTGCCGATTAGGCCATGGGGACCACCGTCTGTAGTAATTCAAAATTTCTTTCTATCTACTTATCTATCTGTCTATACGCCTGTTCAGATCTCGCAACATTCCTTTCCATTTTCTTATCTGTCTGTAAATCAACTGACTACATTCCTTCTTTTTCTTCCTTCCGACTTTCTTCTCGTTCACTTTAGAAAAAGAAAAATTAAAAGTATGTCTAGAAGAAAAAGAGAGATTGATTAATCTAAATTGTAGAACGTTATTTTATGTACATTCTTATCTATCAAGCAATCTTTGTATCCCTTGTCTATAATAAGTGCCTACGTGACAGTACGTGTTTATTGACAAAACTAAGACGGAAATGGGCCATTGCTTCCTGTTTTATACCGACATTTGCTGCTGACTTCAAACAACATCTATATGCACGATCCACATCAAAGCTGATCCTAACAATACAATGACCTTCTGTATTTCTTACTGATTATTTTCTCTCTGTTTATTCAACGGAAGACCCGATTGGCAAAACTGCAACTGTGCCTAAGGATGCAAATCAAAAGAGAAACGCCTCTTGTTTTTCACCGAGAGAAGTCACATGACAACTGAAGCAGGATCTGACCCGTATACGTTTAGCAACAACTAGGAGTACATCTTTCAGAGTCTTGTAAATTTTACGCGCAAACAGTGCCATTGAAATATAATTCACTTCACAAATTCACGATTTTACATAGGTACCTCCACGAGATCGCTAAAAAGAGCATAGCATGATGAAAAAGAAGCGAAACTTGACGAAAACAAAATTTTATCGTCTAAATGTTCGTGTTATTATTAAGAGGAAAGATCAAAGTATTTTGGGGGTATTTTTTTACATTTTTTAATCGTTCCGGGCATGTCCGAAATTTTCGTTAAAAATCTTGTTTTTTTTTTTTTGTTTGTTTTTTGTTTTTTTGATTCAGCAAAATTGACAAATAATCGATTATGGCATCCATTTTTTTCCATTTTATAAAAAAGATGAAAATCTCACTTTGAAATTCTTTTAAATATCAACTATCATTTTTTCAAAACATATTTTAAGAAAATCAGAAATTATAATGTTTATTTAAAATATTTTGAACCAAGCTTAACTTAGCTTCTGCGCCGAAAAGATGAAATTTGAAAATAAAACAAAGCAGGTCATAAGCTTTCACGTCACTTGACTGGTGATGTATGGCGTATTAACGGATTTACGTGATCATAATTTGTTCTACGGAAGGCGAAAAGTGAAGTTATTTAGATTTAAGTAGACAAATTATTTACCTCGTTATTTTAAAGGAAACCTTTCAGCGCTCTAATTTTTTTTTGTACTTAGCTTTCACCTTTGCGTTTACGATGCTTTATGGAAAATATATTATAAAGAAATTAAAATAAGACTGTTAAGAGTGAGATTAAATTCCATATTTCATAAGAACGGTATCTCATTAATTTATAGGTACCTTTCTTATGAAATTTTATCAGAAGTGTCATTAAATACTATAAGTTTATGTACATTTATTACATTTTACTGTGTTATTTGTATTTCCATTCATTCTAATATTAATTTTGATATTTCATTTATGGAAAAATGTCATAACTGACATTAATGTAAAAATAAGATCAGATAAATTTCATAAAATGATAGTAATACTTGTAGGTACCTTTCTCAGTAGAAATTGAAAAATCAAATTAACTTCTCCACACGTGTTTCTCAAAAGTAAAGGCCTTAACAGCGGAGAACAATGCTTAACTCAAATAACGCAACTTAATAGTATTCTGGTTGGTCTTCCGTACTTTATAATTACAGCTCGATTATAAACACAAAATTACATTTCTTAATTACTGCGGACCTTCTGATTAGTCAAAATGATACAATTTACAACGCGCTAAAAAAAAAAAGATCTATCTCATAAAGACATTTAGGAAACCCGATGCGGCTTTTAACTAATTTTATAATATTTTAACAACTTAAATGTAAAAATCTATTAAAGAAATAACAAATAATTGTATTAAAAATTCATTTGTCATCGAAAAAATTTTTTTGCTTTCAGAAAATATTGTCCATATTCATAAAAACAACTAAAAGCAAATAAAAACATTTGAAATTAAATAATATCTTTGTTTTATTGAGTTTTGTATGTTACAATTCAGAGCTGATTTTCAGTTAGGGGGGTCCAATTAAAAACAAAAAAAAACATGATTTGCATTCCTCAAAGCCTTGTGCTTTTAACTATTGTAATAACTAAACCCGATGCGACCGAATTTCTAGCGTTTTAGTTATTGGGTAGGGGTAATGAATATAAAAAAAATTTCTGCCATGACTTTAATAAAAAACATATTTATAATAATTTCGATGATCTGTGAATAGTTTCTGAAAGTTTCATTACCATCCAACAATTATTTTTATTTTTGCAATATTTTCCAAATTAATATATGTCATACAAAAAAAAGTGCTAAAAATTGTATATGCTATTTTACTAGTTCTGGTGATACGAAGAGAAACAAGGCTTTTTTAATCAAAATTTAAAATGTTCTTAAAAAAAGGAAAAAAAAATTAAAACTAATTAAAAAAAACTTTGGTCTTTCCTTTTAATAATAACATAAGCATTTAGACGATAAAATTTTGTTTTCGTCAAGTTTGGCGTCTTTATCGTCATGCTATGTTTTTTAGCGATCTCATGGATGTACCTAATTTTACAGTATCGAAAACAGTATTTAAAACTAGGTGAATACGTAAAGTTGACTAATCAGGAAAACTGTTTGAGAGTAATTAACACCTTGTGAAGAAAGCCTATATAAATACAATTATTTGTGTTTGTACGTGAAATTGATAGTGTGGTTATTAATGTGTAATGGCTCCAAGGTTCTCACCAGTGAGGAGTTCGAACGAGATATAGTCACTACAGTGAGTTTCGCCTGGCTGCAAGCTAAATCTGAACGTCGAACTGAACTAATGCACTAGACACAGAACGGAGATGACAAGGCATCGTTGTGTGAGGAGGGGCTTCCTAGGCTGAAGTCAACGGTTAGGACGGATGATTTACCCGATAGGATCAATAGCCACGTGTCCGCGACCAAGGAGAGTTAGAAAACATCGATTGTAGTATGACCTGAAAAGGGATGGCTTCCACCAGATCTATTTTACCCAAGACACACTACACGTATTAATACCTACCAAAACATGTGGAGGGAGATGTTCAGGGCTCACCTGAGCATTGACCCTACGACCACACAAATGATGATGATGAGGTTGTTCCGTTGATCTTTTTGTATATACAAACTGAAAAATAATTTTTAAATGGTGTTCACCTTGTACAAGGCCCGGAAGCCACTCGAAGAAGAGGGTTACAGTGTAAGAGGCATAGTTTATACAGATATGTGGGAAAGATAACGGTTAACCTTGGAATTGAAGAGGTTAAGATTGTAGTGATTGAGGAAGCATCTTCTTGGGAGTCAGTTCCACAAAGCAGCGGTTCGTGAGAAGAAGCTGCTCGAATGGCACTTATATCTCACCAAGAAAATACAAAGAGAATGAGGGGGGTTCGCTATAATTTGCGTAGCATAACGGATCTTAGCCGTGACAGCAGTATATCAAACGGTTTTGCCCATTACAACTTTTAAGAATGAGCTCACCCAGATGACGCATGCGTAACATAATAGGTAAAGACGTAACGTAGCTGTGACAGTGGACCTTTGGTAACCAAGGGAGTGTAGAGGATTAATAGTTTAACCGCAGAAAGAGTGTTGGAAGCAGAAAGATGGGACACTCTCTCTCCGAGACAGTAAATGCTCTTTTTTCCCTGTGTAACAGTAGTAACTGCATACAAAAAATATACAGTAGTGCAAATAAAATCTGTCGGTGGCTAACGGGGGATGCACACTTGGTACCGCTGGCGGCTAATAAGAAAACTAATAGACCAATGAAGAAGGACATTGCAGCAAATAGCATCCCAACTTATACTGGTGCATTTCACCTCATCAGTTAGTTCCCTGTACTGCATTCACTACATTCCATGCTATTTCGCCGACAAATGAAGCTATTCTTATTAACAACTGCGCCTCATGCGATGTGTTTGAATAGAAATTTGTTTTCTTAACGATTAAATTAATGTCTAACAGCCTATATATATACGTGTGTGTGTCTTTGTCTGCTCATCCTCATTGATGTGTATATAATCGATCTGATGATATGAATGGAAACAGTTCAAAGAAGGTCGGATATATCAAATAAACTCCGTTCTAAGTCCTTACCTGCTCCTTCCTTTTCTTTTATCGCCCCTTTACTTCTCTTTGTTTTTCTCTGTAAATCTTTATTCTTTTCATATTCTCACCTTTTTCTCTTCACATTTTTTCTTTCTTTTTTTTTGTCAAGATGAAACGTCATATTCGAGAAATAGCTATATTGGCTGTGGTTAGAGATGACACACGAAAAGTCTGTCACAATGTTATTGTGTTAGTAGAGTTTCTCCTTTTTTATTCGTCAGTGCTACTACACTTTCATTCAGTTGAGAAGCAATCATCGAAAAATAATAAATGAAACTTAACGGTGAGATTAGTTTGAGAAAAATAGTAAAAAAAAAAAAAAAGACAGTGAAATAAAAGAATACGCCTTTTCTCTTCTCGGTAGAAGACGTAATTTCTTTCTGCTCCAAGAACTTCACTAATTCTGTGTCGCTCAGCGCCCGATAATCGAGATTTTCCCATGTCATTATTTTTCTTTGGCGGAAAAAGCGGTTATAGTTGACCACACAATTTGCTGTCACAATTAAAGACAATTCTCTGTGCATTATTTTCACAATGTGAAGGTGGTTGAGTGGGTAACATGGACATTTCACCCGCCTCTGTTATCTTTGACTCATTTATTTTATGCTTTCCATATTTCCTATGTCTTTTTTTCTTCCCTTTTTGATCCATTCCTTCTTTTATTCCTTCCTACTTTTATTATTTCTTCTTTTATTCCTTCCTTTCTTTATCTCTTCCTTCTCTTATTCATGCCTTCTTTTTTTTATCTTTCTTTTATTTTTCTCTCTTTCTCATTTATCTTTTCTTTCTTAATTCAATCGTTTATTAATTCTTTACTTGGAAGTTTTTTTTTTTATCTTTCTCTCTTCCTCTCCTTCGTTTTGTTTTCTTCTTTATTCCTTTCATAATCAATCGTTTCATTCAAACTTTCATTCTATTTATTCTTTGATGTCCTTCATTATTTGTCATTTTTTTCCTTTTTATGCATATCTTCAGCAGTTACTTTTTAAACATTTTAATTTTACATAATGCAATGCAGTAAACATATTTTTTTAAATATCTTTAACTGAATCAGAAGCAATATTTTTAGAAATATAAATCTGTCCGATAACAGTGAACAACTCTTTCGGCGCAAACAGAAGAAGGCCGACAAAGCATAGCAGATCGCCTCATCTATTTGATAGATCGTTCAATGTGCTAAGTTTCTACAACATACTTCATGTTGTATTTTTGGCTGATTAATTCTGTTCGAGTTTCATCTAACCGCAAAACTTTCATATGTTTTGAGTTATTGATGTGTATACTTTTACAAAAACCTATCGTATTTGAATGTCTTTTCTTTTGAACAAGCCTCCTTTCGGACAACACAAACAAGTTTTACACAAAACACGTGAAATTGCGTTACTGTGTACTTTAACTTCAAGGCCAATCACTGAAGTATACATTTTGTTTTTGAAGTTAAAAGTGGATTGACAGTAATATATTAAAATGTTTTATTAGGATATCCAGACTTAGGCAAAAACTTTATTACATTGAACTTTAACCATTTTCGAGGGCATTTATTGTTCTTATAGATAAATCCAAGCTTTTATAGTGGCTTCCTCCATTCTGCTTTACTCATAACACTATCTCTAGTTTCTATACGTAGTTTCGTCCCTTTTGTATAAAGTATTGCCAGCTCATTATATTAACCGCTATTTTTATCGTTATTCCCGTATCAGATGTTCGGATGAGCGCTCCATTCTTTGGTTCCACCAGTTTAGATATTTATTGCTAGGACAAGACATACTACTTCTACGAAGCCGAATCCTTTTAATTTCCTCTGTATTCTAAATGTAAGGAGAAAACTTCATTCAGACAGATTTTTCCTTTGTGGAACCGACTCCCGCGTGGGTGCTTACCCGAGTACTACAATCTCAACCACTTCAAGTCAAGGTTCATCGTCTTTATCCTCATAATCTTCATTTCCTATCACCTTCACTTTCATTATAACCATTTTAACAGTCAATCTCTAGCTTGAGTGGCTCTTGTGCTTTGTATAGGAGAAACTTGAATATTAAAAATGAATCATAAAAAACAGAGATTAAAGCAAATATCAAGCAGTTTCAATGATCAGATTTTTTGCAAAAAGTGACTTTACTTGAATTTTGCAACACGATCGATCGTAAATTACTTTTAGAACCAGATTTCAACTTTGCAGTGCTTAAATATTGAGATTAATTAACTAAATAGAGTAAAGAAATAAATCGAAGTGGATGCAAATATTTGCAAAGACATTTTCAAGGAAATGATATTTCTGAAAAGAAAAAAATAAACTCAGTATTAAGCTGGCTTCTTATGACCTTTGAGAAATTTTAGTTGTACTATTTGATGCAAAACCTTTTGAAAACATGTTTAACGTTCTATGTTTTCCTTCTGCAACCAAATAAAAAAACAGATTTTATTATTTTATTTTCACTAATGTTTCGTTTTTAAAAAGTATTTGTCACTCAACGAATAATGGTACTGTTCGATATTTTTTCTAAAATTAGTTGGGTGTTTTTCATATTGTTTTGTGCATCTGCTTAACGGAAAACCGGAAGAGAAAACAAGAGACGAATAGACAAAGACAACGAAAGTAAAAAAAAAAAAAAAAATAGAAAGGATATTAAACACTTTTTCGGCCTATCATGCATCTACATTTATTTTACCCTTTATCACTCTGTATGTGACTTCATTTACTGTACAAAACGAATTTGTTTGAATTTCATAGTTGTGTTATCATATCCTGCTATGGAAACAGAAATCAACTTTAATTGAAATTAACAATATGGATACTGCAATTGAGAAACCTTGAAAAAGAATGCAATGGGAAGAGAAGAAATATTAATAATGCAGTGTGCTAAAGATTAAAAAAAAAACAATAACAATGTGTCCTCAAATAAACACTATGTTTATAAATGAGTCCTTTTGTTTTACTTGTGTGTGTGTGTGTGTGTGTGTGTGTGTCTCTAAGACTGACAAATATTCGTCAGATACACGAGAAATAAAAAAAATGTTTGCGAAAACGGAAACTTTTTGAAGATTCAAGGTTTTTCTTGACAGAAATGCGGTAATTTTAATTGGACTAATTTTAGCCGTAGCAGTAAAATTATCTTTATGGAAATATTTCAACGTCGCAGTGTATATATAGATTACGTCAAAATCTTTGCGCAGATAATTTATAGCTTTAACGGTAAGAACATAGTCGTGAAAAATTATAACAGATGATAATCTGTTATATTTGATCTGAATAAATCGTTAAAGCCTTCAAATATATTAGATTGATAAAACAGTTCTAAAAGAGATAATGAGAAAAGAAGGCTTTGAAAACTTGACACTCACTGAACATATTGAAGTCGTATTGGGTAGAGGGAAATAGTGAGTAACCGAACTAACGGAGCTTGTGTAAATGGCAGGATAGGGAATGGAAGGGATAGTAAAACGGCAAAAAATACTGAGAACTACAAAATTATAGGGAGTTGTGGAGAGCTATGATCGTCCACGTTTTGAAAGAATGCGACAAAAAGAAAAACATTTCCGCCTAGAACATTTGTAGAACTTTTTAGTTCGATGTAGACATTGACTTCACTCTAAACTGATTTTCTACGAATAGTTTTAAAATTTGTCCACTGTAAGATTCCAAAGAAGTCAGCTGAATTGGTTCCTTTAATCGAGGAAGACATTTAGAGATGGAACTATCGGCTGTATGATAGTTTATTAGTGGGTCATTAAATTGCCGTCAAGTAAATAAATGGTTTGTCAACCAAATGAAATGATTCAGAAAATACAAGCGAAACTTTGAATACGCCTCACAATGTACAACCATTGGAACACTAGCTTCACGAATCGAACATGGAATATCTCATCATTTTAACTGCATCCACCTCACCATCCTGTTATTTATCTACAATCAGTAGAGTTTCTACATTCGAAAAATGTGTACAACATTCCCTAACAAATGATGACATTTTTGATTATTTTGAAGTGCAAAAAACATTATTTAGGTACTGTCATTACAGACGTCTAAAGATGGTACCTGCAACTCGGAAATCTGCACACGGATTACCGCAGCCATGAGCAAATTAGCAAGAATATGGAGGAGCAAAATCAGCTTTCAAAAGAAGTACAGAATGTACAAATCGTTAGTAGTCTCCATTCTCCTATATGGATGTGAAACTTGAACACTGTTGGCAGAAAGAGAGATAAGGATCCAGGCGTTTGAGGATAAATGCATGAGAAAACTCCTTGGCATTTTCTATTGGAAAAAAAAAACAATGAGTTTGTGCAGGAAAGGATTGAAAGTTTTATGGGCCACCAGGAACCTCTTCTGGATACTGTCAAACGGAGAAATATGGCATGGTTTGGACACGTTACAAGGCACAACAGCCTGTGCAAGACCATCATGCAAGGCACCGTTGAATGTGGACGTAGGAGAGGACAACGCAAAAAACTGATTGGACAATTTCAAATAATGGACAAGGATGATAACTACCGTTGATAGACCGTTATGGAGGAGATTCAATATGGCTTCTGCATTCGGATTCTCCCCTATGATTACAAAAGTCAAGGAGATGTTGATGATGATGTCATCACAAGGAATGACATACACAGGAAAGTGGACAACCAAGAGGATTTATTTTAACCAAACTAGAGTTGCATTAGAAAAAGTAATTCTATTCGTAAAATATGTCTGCCATTACAAAGTACTGCTCGATTCAAACTAAAATCAATCACAATTATATATAATCTGCGAGTTACGCAATAATTCCATACTATACTTTGCATGGGAATCCTGTGAGAAAAAATGATTTTGAAAGTTCTGCCGCAATCTCTCAATTTCGTTTTCTCCGGATAAGAGAGTAGCGTTTCAATTAATATACATTGAAGCTTCAAATGTAAGATGTCAAATATCTATAAGCAGGAAAAGAATACAATTATAAAATATTCATAAAATATTATCCTGTGAGAATCTCAGTGGATTGCACGGTGTAATGGTTAGCGAGTTCATTACACTCGAGTTCATTACACTCCCTTGCAAACTAATACCCTTGATAAAGATATAAATCTAGCAAGAGAGATCGGTCCCTATAGCCTTGGTTGGCAGCCAGTCTAGGAGTAGAAAGACACTGAATTCAAACCAACCTGGGG